AGGGCATCGAGGCCAAAATATTTTTTTAAAAAGGGCATCGAGTATGAGGCCAAAAAAATTGAATTCTATTTTTGTTAGATGTCATGTGTATTTTATGAAACTTGTGCGGGATCAATTTCCCATGACTTTTAGCACCAGCTTCTTCACAGAATATAAAGAGGTCTACGGTACATACAGGCGGCCCGCAAGCCTTAGATTAAAGAGAAGGTTGAGTTCTGGGAAGAGGTGAAAAATAATTTGTGAGCGTAATCATTCTTATTATCCAAGTGTGGAAGAACATCAGATAAGACAAGTTCCCTGAAAAGCATGGCTCTTCAAATACCTTCATATTCTAAATATGTCATGTAACATCGTAAAAATCAGGGCAGGATTTTTATGCCATGTGTTTGTGAAGTCCCATATAAATCTTTCTGTGTACAGTGTGTGTAACTTTACCAAGACTTGGCCAAATTTCTTATCATTTTGATGATTCCAGAACCTTGCAATACACACAAGTTCTTATTTGCTAGATGATCAACCTTTTCTGGTCGATTCCACAGTTTCTTTCACAATGCAATCGCATGACCAGAACTCAACTTCATCTTTAGTTTTTGTATGAAATGTTACTTAAAGATAAACTTTAGTACTGGTAATGCGATTGCATTGTGAAAGAAAAGGTGTGGAAAGGATCAGAAACAGTTGATCATGTAGCATGTAAGTATTGGTGTGCACTGCAAGGTTCTGGAGTCATCAAAATCATAATAAATTTGACCGAGTCTTGGTTAAGTAACCAGCACTGTACACAGAAAGCTATATATGGGACAACACACATGTTGTCGAGGCTAGTACTACCTTGATTTCCTTGTCTTTCTATGCTCATTACTCAGCCAGTATACATTTTCTTCCAAATTGTTTGGCACATGTCATTTATTTGTAATCTTGAACATTCAGTGCAAGTTTCGTTTGATTCTGTGAGAATGAATTTTCTTCTTTTTTTCCAGAACTGGAGTTTATCTTTAAAGGTATTACAAAGTTTTGGGAAATTTTGAAAAATGGGTGGATAGTGATTCTTTAAAATTTATATTTATTTGGATGCCCATGTGGATGTATTATAAACGCCAGAAATTTAAGCCCCTAAAACATTTCTGCTTTCGATAAAAATTAAATATAAAGATTTACGGGTGCTCCCGGTAAATTTTTATAAATTCCAAATAGCTCCTATGGCCGTACAATGGTAGCTGCGACCATGAAAATCTCAGAGTATGTAGTTGTATATTATTTCCAAACGAGAATAGCTAATCAGTCGATTTTAGTTAATAGACATTGTTTTATAGCTTAATTAATATCTTGACCTTGAGAGGAAGCTATTCAACATAGAGTGTTAATTATTTACGATTTCATAACTTAAGAGTCTATTTCGACCGCGACAACGACCGTGACAACAATCACTGAAAATTGTAGGATCGTATATGCTTCCAATATGTTCATTTGAACCAAATTCATGACCCATACCAAAACTTTGTATTACCTTTAATATATTCCTTCTACTGTACTAACCCTCTGACATGCCAAAAATACTGAAAAATTCTCCCCACATAGATATCTATGGTTTTCTTTTAAGGAGTCGATGTATGACACCCTCTCAACAATGATTAACAGTAAATTCTCCCTAGTGCTGTAGCCGAACCACCGAACCGAACGGAAGTTCGCCGAACATGGCACTTCTGAACCGAACCGAACGCAATGGCCTGGTTCGGATGTTCGCAGAAAAATGTTAATGTTTTCGCAAGCTAATAAACTTGTCATTTTGTACCTAATTTTCATGTCATGATTGCTCATTTTATATTTACTCTTTTCCCATTTTCCGCCTTTGTGATTTATGCCTATCCAGTGGTGGGCGCAACTTCACTGGCGCCATTTAAATCCCAAATCCTGACCACGCTACGTCGCGATCGCAAGCTATAAACGAGAATACATGTGCGTGATCAAAACAAGTTCAGCTCAAACCCATTTAACAAAACAAAAAATCCAATATTTTAATTGTAACAATATCAGACAAATTTTACAATTTGAATAATTAAATAAATATATATTACAGTATGGTATCTATTTATTCAGGAAAAATAGGGATTTTATATTTTTCCTATTGAAAATAAAAACTTATAAAAAACAGTTATTGACGAGCCTGAATAGCTTTTCAAGATGGCAGCTTTCATGACTCTAACATTAGACAACAACCGTCTCGGAAAATCTTGAAAAAAATATCATTTATTGACAAATTAAAAACATGATTCTTTTAAAATTGAAAATAAAACATGATTCAAGACGGAAATACGAATGTAAGTAGTACTTTTCTTCACAAATAATTACGTTTAGAGCAGTTTTTTAATGTGAAATTCGTGCTCGTCGGAAGCACTGTATTTCAGCAGGAGTGGGTAGAAGTCCTTCGCGCTGGTCGGGCCCGCCCGGCCGGCCCGCCCAGTGCCCACCGCCGTGGCTATAACGCTGTTTGCTATTAATATATTACCGAACATCGAACCGAACCAAGTTCGGGTGAAAAATTGCCGAACTCTGCCGAACCGAACACGAACATAGCGTCTGACTTACAGCACTAATTCTCCCAACCATTTTTGAATTTATTCAACCGTTTTTTCCATGTAAAAAAGACATAAAACAGGCTATAAAAAAATCTGTCAACACTTAAATGTCTGGAATGGAATGTAGAGCCATTTTATTGCTTTGTGACGATTTCCATTCACCTAAAATGTAATTCAATTGTAATGCTATAGTTGGGAGAATTAAGGAATCGATCATATCAGTTTTTCCCAATTTGCACCATAAATAATGGTCTGTTTTCACTCAAATTTTCAGATTATCTTTAATTGTACATCTAGTATTGAAATTACTACCTTAGCAACACTATCTCTCATCTGAACAATGTTACCAAGTCCCTTTATAGATAAAGACGAGTTCTGGTAATGCGTTGTGAAATAAAAGATGGGGAATGGATCAGGAAAGTTATCATGTAGCATGTAAGTATTGGTGTGTAATGCAAGTTTCTGGAGTCATCAAAATCATCATAAATTTGGCCCAGTCTTGGTAAAGTAACAGTCACTGTACACAGAAAGATGTATATGGGACAACACAAATGGTGTTGGGATAGTACTACCTTAACTTTCTATGCTCATTACTCAGCCAGTACCGTACTATACATTTTCTTCCAAATTGTTTGGCACATGACATTTATTTGTATTCTCTAACATTCAGTGTAAGTTTTGTTAGATTCTGTGAGAATTCATATCATTTTTTACCAGTTTATCTTCAAGAAAAGTGAATTTTGTACGTCAAATATTTACAGAAACTTGCCACTCCTTCCTTCTCCATACCTACATTCTTCCAACCAGGCTCGTCCATTTTTTCATTTTTGTGAAAAAGCAGATGGGGTTAACCACCCCCCCCCCCTCCTCTCTTTTCGTGATTACTTTGTAATGCTTAAAGGTAAAGACCAGTAATGGTCATGCGATTGCATTGTGAAAGAAACGTTGTGGAATCGATCAGAAAAGGTTGATCATCTAGCATCTAGCATCTGCAAGGTTCTGGAATCATCAAATGATAAGAAATTTGGCCCATTCTTCGTAAAGTTACAAGCACTATACACAGAAAGATGTATATGGGACTACCCTATCTCTCTCACCAGACCATGAGAGAAATAAGTTTACCAAATATATGAATTAGTAGGCGGTTTCCCGGCAAATTTTTTATCATCATGTATTACATGATGATAAAAATTTGACGGGAAACCGCCTACTAATTCATATATTTGGTAAATTTGTTTCTCTCATGGTCTGTGAGAGATATAGGGTAGTCCCATATACATCTTTCTGTGTATAGTGCTTGTAACTTTACGAAGAATGGGCCAAATTTCTTATCATTTTGATGATTCCAGAACCTTGCAGATGCTAGATGCTAGATGATCAACCTTTTCTGATCGATTCCACAACGTTTCTTTCACAATGCAATCGCATGACCATAACTGGTCTTTACCTTTAAATAATTTACAGTGCCACTTCATGATATTTTTTTCCTTGCGCATCTTTTGATTCAAAATTTCTGCACACCGGGTTGACGGTCCAGGTGTTGCATAACATTTTGTGATCGTGTGGCACTGGAAATAACATACAGAGTTCTTAAATGCACCTTTGATGTTGCAGTTTGTATTCTCATCTTTTTACATGTACTGTTAGTATTCCCATTTGGTATGGTGAATTAAACTTATTGCCTTATCATTTGCATAAAACAATACATAATATAAAGAATAATACAAATAAAAAGATAACAAGAAAAAATACATGGAAAACGATAAAAGTAAATCAATTTTCATGATTAACAAAAATAAAACCAGCACTCCAAACATGAAGTTAAAATATCTTTCATGACTTCACATAAAATCATCACCAAAACAAGTGTTCATGATATAATATGACAATAATTAATATGACAATAATTAATAAGTGGGATAATTGTCTTATCAACTACCCTTTTTTGTAAATCAGAGATTGTGTGAATCTAATCTTGCATTTATATTGTAATTGAACAGAGTTAAGTTTCATATGAATCACCATTATTGAATTGAACTATTGAATATTGTAGATCTAAAGGACATCTACCACCATGCCAAATTTGGAGTCGTTCTGAGTTTCAGTTGTCGAGGTCTTTAGCCCCCCTCCCTTCCCCCCCCCCCCCCCCCTCAAGTTTTTAAAAAGTTCAAAATAGGAGCTGTTGTAAATATGAAAGTTGGCATGAATTCAGGTGCAGAATAGGTCGTAACTTTCTTGAGGACTCATTTCTCTTTCGTAGTGAATGTTAAAACAGCGTATGGTAACTAAAGGGGTATTGGAACACATTCACTAACCTACTTTTTCTAATGGTCATAATCCCAGTGATCTCGATATTTGTAAAATATTTTTCTGTTATAAAGTCATTTAGTAACAAATCTGTTCTTTCTCTTTTTCATTTTCTTTTCTTTTCTAGCATTACTGCAGTTGCCACTTTCATCTGTCTGAAAGTCATCTGGCATATAACTATCCATCATGCCTAAGGAAAAAGCCCATATCAACATCGTGGTCGTCGGTCACGTAGATTCCGGCAAATCAACCACCACCGGTCATCTCATCTACAAATGCGGTGGAATCGACAAGCGTGTCATCGAGAAATTCGAGAAGGAAGCTTCCGACGTAAGTTATTGTCTTATTTCCTATGATATGTGAAATAGCTGGCTTCCTTCTCTAAAGAGAGGAGCCAACCCTAGCCAAATAAGGGGCTAAAGAACGAAAGAGACCAAACTTTTTCGGTCCAATATCACAAAGGCTGTATGCAGGTTTTTTCCCTTTCATATTACAGTATGGTGATTTTTCACATATTCCATGAGGATTGAAGCCATTTTTACATTCTCAGAGCAGCAGTGTGATAGTTATTGTACGAAACTGTTACAAATAATTGAGTTGATGACATCAATAACTTGCTTATTTTAATTGCATACAGCATATCTGATACATATCACCTTTGCATGAAATTATGTGAAACTTTTATATTCCAAAACTTTCTTATTTTTCATCCGATTTTGATGAAAAATTTTATGTTTTGTTCACTTAGTCTTTCTCTCTTTTTTTTTTCCAACTTACAATTTTCCGGACTTGCCCTTTAATTGAATGCAGGGGGAGCCATATAAGTATCATAGTAAATATGAACTTGCAACACATTCTTCAATTTCTGTTGTGAAGTAACCTGTACTATTAATTATCTTCTAAATATTCGATTTTGCATTTTTCGAACCAAGTCTAAAATTTTCCTTGTGAATATTGTTTCATCAACAGCTTGGAAAGGGATCGTTCAAGTATGCCTGGGTTCTTGACAAGCTGAAGGCAGAGCGTGAACGTGGCATCACCATTGACATCGCCCTGTGGAAGTTTGAAACCCCAAAGTACTGTGTCACTGTCATCGATGCACCTGGTCATCGTGATTTCATCAAGAACATGATCACTGGAACCTCACAGGTGGGGAAATTTTTTTTGATTTATCTTTATTAGTTTATCACACAAACTGAACAAAATCTGTGTATCATAAAACATGCATGATGCAGATCATCATAAAAATTATTGGTGGCTTGTGAAATTGTTGGATGTCACTATGAAAGGTGGTTTGAGTGTGAAAAACATAATTATTGTTTATTTGTGAGAGCAATAACCAAAATCGGTTTAAAGATAAAGTTGAGTTCTTGTCACGCTATTGCATTGTGAAAGAAACGTTGTGGAATTGATTAGAAAAGGTTAATTATCTAGCATATTAGTGTGTAGTGCAAGGTTCTGGAATCATCAAAACTATCAAAATTTGGTCCAGTCTTGGTAAAGTTACAAGCACTGTTCACAGAAAGATGTATATGGGACTACACAAACATTTATGATGCGACATGCCATATTTAGAATATTAAGGCATTTGACTTTTTATCTGGTGTTCTTCCACACTTATATAATACAATTATAACGCTCACTAAATATTTTCACCTCTTCCCAAGCTCCTCTTTAAACATGTTGTCAGTTGTTTCTCTGTCAGTGTAGGGTTTCACGATTACTTTTTCCGTTGGGAGTGATGAACATTTGGTCAAAATTCATTGAGCCCTGTGTAAAAAAGCTGAAACTTAAATGGTCCAGACACATATTTTGGGCATCCACTACGTCTCTCGGGCGCTTCTAAGTGTCCAGTCCTTGTTCATAAAATTCACTTTACCTTTGCCCTGCAGAACAAAAACTAATGTAAGTACTAGCAGTAATGAAAACTACCGTATTTGCTAGGCCCGAGTCAAACCGTTTAACCGACGGTTATCCGACCGCATTCATCCGACCGCATTCATCAAAACTGTTAAGCATTTCTTGCTCCGTTTATATGCATACATTTTGGAATGTGCTAATAGCCGATGATAAAGATAATCAAAGAAACCGCAATGTAATGTTGCACCCTGTCCGCTGCGCGCCAGCTTTCTGGCAGCAGTAATCTCCATGAATGAATTTGTAAACAAGAAAACAAATACGGTAGTCTGATGTTAGTTGGGTCAATCATGGGAAATTTTATTAGGATTTTTAGAGAATGTCATAACTAAAGCTTTTTTTAATTAAAAAAAAAAAAAAATCTCATTTAGGCCGACTGTGCCGTGTTGGTTGTTGCCGCTGGTATTGGAGAGTTTGAGGCTGGTATCTCCAAGGATGGGCAGACACGAGAGCATGCCCTGCTGTGCTACACCTTGGGTGTCAAGCAGCTCATTGTTGCTGTCAACAAGATGGACAGCGCACAATACAATGAAGCCCGTTTCAAAGAAATCGTCAGGGAGGTCTCTGGCTACATCAAGAAGGTTGGCTACAACCCAAAGGCTGTGCCCTTCATCCCAATCTCAGGATGGTTGGTGACAACATGATGGAGGCAGCCACAACGACTGTAAGTGGTGCCTTTTGTAATTGCTGCACAATTTTTTTCTTCCCCGTTGTAAATTTTATTTAACAAATCGTGAGAATCATGATTTTCAAGATTCGATATAGTGAAAAAGAAGAAAAGAGCAAAATACAAATAAAATGAAAATCTTATTTGCTTTTGGGTTAAGTAGGTCAACTGTCGTAGGGATAGAATTTTTAAATTTCAGGTATTGGCCTCAGATATTTTTAAAGACCTTGACAGGCAAGATGTTCAAATTTGATAGTAATAGGTAAGGGAGACAATTATGTCAATGGACTCTGTTTCTGAAATCAAGGCTTCAGCCTAATAGCGATATAACATGGCTCCAAATTCCATTCAATTTTTAGTATTGTTCAAATAGCAACTGTTATATAAGCTTTGAATGAACTTGATTCCAGGAATTCAACTTAACTGTTTCTCTCACAGATGCCATGGTTCAAGGGGTGGTCAATTGAACGCAAGGATAATAATGCCAGTGGAGTGACCCTGTTGAATGCCCTTGATGCTATCATGCTCCCTAAGAGGCCACATGACAAGCCTCTTCGTCTACCACTCCAGGATGTCTACAAAATTGGAGGTATGTAAACTGGCTTTTACATGATTATCTGACATAATTGTAGCGCATGCTAGCTTTCACTAGACATCCAATCTTCCTGATTTGTGTTAAAAATGTCTAAAAAATTTAATATCAAATTCTGTAGAACTTGCAGGAATTATGAATATGTCATGTATATGTCCTAACTGTGAAGTTAAAACATTAGCAGTGTCCTAGTATTCAAATTATGCAAGATAACCTGTTTATCCTCGTGACTGACTGACCAACATCTATTCATAGTCTAATGATTATATGTAGTGAAAAAAATGCTTAAATATGAATAAAATGATTTATGGGTAAAAATGTGATTTTATGACCTTATTTGCATACTTTACCATAAATATGCAAAATTGAAATTATCATATTATTCCATACACTTCACTTGACATGGATGCAAATGGGGGGGAGGGGAGTACCAAGACCTCAAATAGCTTGGCCTTGGCTTGGCTTTCAAATAACATAACTCCAAGTCAGAGGATCATGGGGGACCAACAGGCACCGATTGGGGAAGTTTTCTATATAGAGGGAGCAAGTAGCTACAAGTACAGTATTGCTTGTAATAAAGTAGACACATTACCACCAAGTCACACCAAGGTCTACAGGATAATGCATGCAGTCATGCGTGAGACTATCAACTTTATTCCGAGCAATACTGTAGGACAGTGGGGCTTTAAATAAAATATTAATGCAATGGTACTCTTTATATGTGTGTCAATATCCTGCCAAAATTTTGAACAGGGGCACCATCTGAGCCATTTGCTCGTGCAGCAAAAAGGCACTGAAAAGTGGAGGCTTTACCCATGTCAAAGAAACCGGTTCTTAGATTTTTTTTAAATTCCAGTTACGTTAACCATTTTGTTTTTACCCATCACTTTGAATGTTATGACTCAGTCTTCTCATTTGATCCTTAAATTAGGTATTGGAACTGTGCCAGTGGGCCGTGTTGAAAGTGGAACAATCAAGGCCGGTATGATCGCTAGGTTTGCCCCTGCCAATTTGACCACTGAGGTGAAGTCTGTGGAGATGCACCATGAAACTTTGGAAAGGCATTGCCAGGTGACAACGTCGGCTTCAATGTCAAGAACGTCTCTATCAAGGATATCAGGCGTGGTATGGTTTGCGGAGAATCCAAGGACAATCCCCCAATGGCTGCCAAGTCCTTCCAGGCTCAGGTATGTGGATGATGTTAATAATGTAACAAATTAGAATGCAGTCCTGGCTCCGAACAGATAGTATGATGTTCCTAGTGAAACTCAACCTTACAATGTCAAGACTTTTTGATTTTCCTTGTTGTAAAAGGACGTTAAATAAAATCACGTAGGGGACTCCATGTACATGTCCAAAAATGAAAATACACATGTACCAAGCGGTTTCTGCTGTAAACTCTTTTTTAGGCCATTAAACGTGAATGCATGCAATTGTTGAACTTCTATTTGTTTTGTTAATGAAATGTCAAATCATATCGGCTTAAGGGGATCCGGTAACTTTGTCTCAGATTCCAATAAATAAAATTCTGGATTTAGCTCATGCTGCAATGAAAATTATAAACCTTTGGCTTTAAGTCGGTCAGGAACCCCATGACTTTTACAAGCTGATCGCCTGTCTGATTATCAAGATATTTATGATTGGAATTATAAATTTTGAAATTTTCATTACACTACAGTCTATTGGGGAAAACGAGTATGGTAAAACCGGTCACTGAAAGATTTTTTACTTTTTTGAGGCACTTCTTGATCATTTTCAAGCGCGATTTTTTTTAGGGCTTCAATATTATATCATATCACAGACATTGATAACACATAGGGTCGTGTATCTCATATTTAACATTGTTAAACGATCCCTTTAACATCCTATCTGAGGGATGGAGTGTTGTGGTCGATGTATTTAACTACGATATTAAGTTACATGTTAAATTACCGGTGAGCAGTAACGTCCTCTAGATCTCAATCACACACGCTGCTTGAAACTAGCGTCCAATAATTATAATTAACCAGCAAACCAATAAGGATGAAGCATATGATCGAAAAGGGGGTTAACCCTATTTTAACTGGGCTATTTCAGAGTACAGACCAGGCTTTTACTGGGGGGAAGGGGGGGGGGTCAATTTGACTCCCTTCCCCCCCCCCCCCCCCTCAAGATCTCTGCCGTTGAACAGCCAATCACCGCGAAAATTTGCATCCATGTTACATTTTTTGAAAAATTCACATATTTGCATATTTATGTTAATATATGGTAGGGGGGGGGGGGTCATATTGACCCCCCTTCCCAGTTAACATATGGTTAAAGTGTCCACAAAAAAAGGTCTAATACAAAAGAAAAAGCAAATTTGGAATATTGATGATTGTTTGTGTAGATCAAACCAAAATATGGGATTTAAAAAAAGCTGAAAGTCTTAACCCTATATAGCCTTACTATTTTGAAACTGCCAGGTCGGGATGGGTTCTAAGGCCCCCCCCCCCCCCCCCCCCCCCCATGATCTCAGCGACTGCCGCTATTAGTTGATTTGTGTACAAAACATATGAAATATCATCATTTTTCCCAAAAGAGACAAAACATTGGTTACCGTATTTGGTCTTGTTTATAGTTACCGGTAAGGTGTTTGTTTTGGGGGTCAATAAAGGTTGAATTATAGTTGAAAATAAAATTAAGCAATAAATAAAACAATGGATAACATAAGGAATAACCTGGCTCTTCCAAATCGTTTTTGGTGTATCATTATTACAAATGGTTTAAAGAATATATGTAGTAAAAACATTCGTTTTAATATGAATAATATATGATTTATGGTTAAAAGTATTAATTTGTTGACCTTAATTGCTTAAATTACCATTCATATGCAAATGAGTACATTTTCCAAAAAATTAAACTTACCATAGTTATCTATACACTTGACATCTGTGCATATTTTCGCGGCGATCAGCTTCACGGCGGCAGAGATCATAGGGGAGGGGTGAGAGGGGCCTTAGAACCCTCCTTCCCCTAGGCTATGCTGTTTCAAAATGGCCCAGGCTATATAGGGTTAACCAAGGTTGTTTGGTAATAGAAATGACTTACATGTTTTCTGAAAGCTAAATTACAAGTGCAATGAAATTCCTTATGACAATTCTTTGTTAAATTTATCTCTTTGATGCAGGTCATTGTCATGAACCACCCCGGTGAGATCCATGCTGGCTACACCCCGGTTTTGGATTGTCACACAGCTCACATTGCCTGCAAGTTCGCAGAACTCAAGGAGAAGCTCGACCGTCGATCAGGCAAGAGTCTTGAGGATAACCCCAAGTTTGTGAAGAGTGGTGATGCCGTCATTGCCAAACTGATTCCCTCCAAGCAGATGGTGGTTGAGAGTTACACAGATTTTGCTCCTCTTGGACGTTTTGCTGTCCGTGACATGAGGCAGACCGTAGCCGTCGGTGTGGTGAAGTCTGTCGAAAAGGATGAAGCATCTACAGGCAAGGTTACCAAGTCTGCCCAGAAGGCTGGCAAGAAGAAATGATGGCGATGGCATTCTGCATCCCAAGGCTACAACATGTACCCACTCCCCTTCACTAATGAGTTCAAAGGAATCACTGCAAGCCTTCGTTTACCTATGCTTCTTGAAAAAATGAAAACCCAAAGAATATCACACTAATTCTTCCTCCGCAGATAGCAGAGGAAGATAGTGTTGCTATTATATCGGCAGCATGTTTTTATCAAGTCTATTCTAAACAAGACTGTTACAGCAAATGTGCTGAGAGTAAAACAAAAATAAAAGAAACGCTTAATATTGCTCTAAATATGTACCACCCATGAAAGACGAATGGGGTTATAAGAAGTGACATTTCTTTGAAATTTTAAAATAAGTATGTCTGTATCAAGGTATAATCAAAAAGCTTATCACACACTGTGTGCTGCACCAAGTTTTATTTAACCCTGAAAGGCAGGGGTTGTTTGACATACAGCACTGGGAGCTCACCCATGATCTCGATTTAGTTAACACAACAAAATAAAAAGAGAAGTCATCTTTTTTGCAACACGGTAAACATGCAGGCAAAATGTGGTCCTCATGGGTTAATCATTAATCAGATATGTTTTTACATCTGTGTTGCATGTAAGCAAATTGATTTTGGAAATCCTTAGTTCAAGTGGCAATTGCAACTAAATGTGCTCAAGTGATCTACTTGTATGGACAGAGCTGGTCCTTAATTTTGGAAAATATAATTTCTTGGTGACTTAACAATTTATTTGTATGTAAATGGAAACAAGTGTATGCCTTGGAAATAAATATTAAAAAAAAAGAACTTGTATGTGAGTAATCATTTTTGTAATGATTGAGGCTGATTTCATTTATATAGTGTTATAGACTGCTGAGGAATAAAAGTTCACTTTGGACAATCTAAGTTAACCCTATTTTAACTGGGCTATTTCAGACCAGGTTTTTACTGGGGGGGGGGGGGGGGGTCAATTTGACCCCCCCCCCTAAGATCTCGGTCGTTTCACCGCCGATCGCCGCGAAAATTTGCATGCATGTCAAGTGAAGTGTATAGAATACTATGGTAATTTCAAATTTTTGAAAAATTCACTCATTTGCATATTTATGGTAATTTATGCAAATAAGGTCATAAAATTCACATTTCGGCCCATAAATCATAGATTATTCATATTTAAGTATTCTTTTTCACTACATATATTTATTAGACCATTTGGAATAATAATACAACACAAAAAATTGGAAGAGCCAGGTTATTCCTTATGTTATCTCTTGTTTTTATAATTTCTTATGTATTTCATTGTTTTTTTAACTTATGTATTTTATTGTTTTTGTTGTTTTATTTCATTTATAACTACAATTCAACTATTTTGACCTCAAAACAAACATCTAAACTTTAAACAAGACTGAATTACCAATGTTTTATCTATTTTTAGGAAAAATGACTTTTACATATGTTTTGTACACAAATCACGAAAATGAGCGATTTTCGGGCTGACATGCAAAGACAAAAGGTCACGCGACCTTGTAACCGTAGGTCCGATTTTCAAAAAAATTGTTTTAAAAGATGCGTAAGACTCGAAAGTAAAAAGTCATGAGAGGAAAATTATACATCTGCCGCGGTTTCGGAGTAGTGGCAAAATTTTTACAGGGGGGGGGGTCAAATTGACCCCCCCCCCCCCAGTTTACGTAGGGTTAAATCACTGACATAGACTTGTTCGTGAGGTCCAGATACTCTGATAGCTATGCCAATCTCGAATTGTCAGACAATCGGAGAGAAGGTGAAAGAAAACATCTATATTTATAAATGAAGTACTGATGAATTGAATAAATAATCGTAGTAAACGCCCGCCCCCCCACTCAGTGTTATTTAGGGTACGCATATGCGTGTTCCAACCGACCCCCCCCCCCTTTTTAGCAAAAGTCCGGTGTGTAAAGTCAATACGGCTCGACCTTTTTCTTTTGTATACGAGCCTTTTTCCGCACCCCCCCTTTTCAGCAAAAGTCCGGTGTGTAAAGTCAATACGGCTCGACCTTTTTCTTTTGTTACGAAAAGGACATTTTGGCAACACGCATGCGGTCATTTTGAAACCTGAGTGGGGGGGCCGGGAGTAAACGTGCTGAATAATATACATCATAATATAAAATTACCCGCATACTGATAGCGACATAAAAAAAGTAAGGAGTGATGGAGAGAAAGGGAGATATAAGGGCCATAGCCATATATCGGATAAATAGAGTAGAATGGTTTTCAGAGACGAATCAGAAAAGGAAGAAAAAAATATATCAAACGGCTTGGATCTAAATCGAGAGAGAACAAAGGAGAGTGAGAGACACATAAAGAGAGAGGGGAAGAGACGGAGGGATAAAGAGAGAGAGACAAAGAGGGGAGGGAGGAAGAGGATGGGACAGAGTGAGGAGTAGGCCTACAAAGACTACCCAGCATACAATTTTTTTTTCTCCTAAAACAACATTGCACGCATTTAACTCGAGGATTATAACATGACGTATGAACAAATTGCATGTTGACAATATTTCAGCTGAAATAAGGAAAAGTATTTTAAAGTCTTGTATCTATTTATTCATTTTGGAAAGGGTATCACAAATCAACATTAAAAGGATAGTTGAGTTCTGTGTTCAGACCACAAATGCCTTCAAAGTGCATGGTTATTGCTCTTATTCTTATCTATGACATTTCTAGTGCCATTGTAGGACCTAAAATCGCTATGAAGGTAATTTTAGACCCCAAAATGTGTGTAATTTAGCCAATACGATCATGCCAATTCAACTCCACTTTCGAAAAATATGGTGAACGTTTAAATGAATTAATTAATTAATAATAAAAATACATGGGCCAGCTGGTTGTGCGTAATTTAAACAACACGAAGAAGCCAACAAAAAGCCAACATCGACATTGGCATTGTCTTTTTCAACGGCTGGTTCAAATTATCGAATATTTATGGTGGTACACAAATATTAGAAATCGTTCCAAATTGCTCCAAAACACACATATAAAAAAAAAAATGAGGGGGGGGGGTTGAACCCCAACCCGCCCCTGCGTACGCGCCTGCATGTTGTCGATTAATGTTTTTTTTAATAAATTTAGTAATGTCGTAGTTATTGACAATGGAAGTTCTCATTATTATTAGTACACCCTTCGTTCTCTACTGTCTTGTGTCATGTTTTCTTTTCTGTTTTTCCTGGTTAAGTTTTTGTAAGGTGGGTCCTGAGCGCTGTTTTATCAGATGAATTCGCATATTCATGTATAAATGAAACGGGGCCTATGAAGATGAATATGAGCTAAAGGCAAAGATAAAACAAAACAAAATTAAGCGCAAGAATAAACTAACTTTTAAAATGATAGGCCTATTAATCCTTTTAAAAGAATTATTAGAGATTTTTCATTTTCGTTAGTAGTAAACCCTATGTTTTTGTTTTTTATTTTGTTTTCTTTCCCTCATTATTTTTTTTTAATGAGCGTTGTGGTGTATGCTCTTGTTTTCAGTTAAGGCTATTACAGGTTATTTTTGCTACTTTTAAATTGCAAGGTAGGTGCTATCTCCCATTCAGTTTGTGTTATAATTCCGCCATGGAAACTCATTTTTATGAATGATACTTGGTAGGCAAGAACTTGACATCATGGGCAAACTTTTGGTCACACCCATGTCCGTGTCTGCGTCATAGGGGACTGAAATAGGGGGGGGGGGGGCAAATTTGAAATCAATTTCCAGAAAATTTGAAAATCGCGCCGGCCGATAATTCGCTCAGTGGGGGGGGGGGGGGGGGGGTACTTTGGGGGCCCTCAAAAATGTGCATCCCCTCCCCTTGAGCGCTAAGCGAAGGGAGGGGGCATATTCAAAAGAAGGTAAAATTAACGTGTTTTACACGTTTTTTTTCACAGGGGGGGGGGGGCGCCCCCTTAATCCGCCACTGTAATATATCATATTGAGCTTGTTCATAATTACAGAGATGAATAAGATCTTTCTAAAAGACCAATTCGTCTCCGTGACGAATTCAAGGTAATTCAATTTATGTACTCCTGTAAAACGGATAATTGGTTCTTATACACTGTGAAAAGGTTGGGCAATATTTTCCAACACTTTGCCCAACTTTGTGCCAATAGTCAACCCAACCATCCATTGGGCAATATTTTGCCCAGTGGTTTGGTAAACGTAAGTACGTGCATAATTGTTTCGTATTTTGCCCAACGGCGGTCATGATTTTCCAACAAGTGGGCTACCGTATCAGGCGCGTACGCAGGGGGGGGGGGGGGGGGGGGGGGGGGGGGGGGGGTAGGGGGTGTGGTTAACTTCCCCCTTGAGTTTTTTTTATGTGTATGTTTTTTTTTTTTTTTTTTTTGAATTCCCCCCCCCCCTTTTAGATGACCTAGACGAGATGATGACCCCAAAAAGATGACCTTAACCCCCCAGCGGAACGGAATGTCGATGGGTCAAAATTTCAAATTTCGGGATCCCCCCCCAAAAAAAATGTCCTCTTACCCCCCCCCCCCCCCCCGCTTTATTCAGCGGCTGGCTGAGTCGTTGCGATTCTCTTTTGGGACCCCCCCCCAAAAAAAAAGTGTCCTCTTACCCCCCCCCCCCCCCCCCCCCCCGCTTATTCAGCGGCTGGCTGAGTCGCTGCGAAATTTTTGGCCCGATTTTAACCCCCCCCCCCCTCCCCTAGAAAAAACCCTGCGTACACTACTGTTCCGTATAGTCGGGCAGTTGAACGGTCATATCTTTGCCCACATTTTTGACAAAATACGAAACAATTATGCACGTGTGAAATAAGGGTACTAAAGTTTACCAATACCACTGGGCAAAATACTGCCCATGGTTGGGTTGACTTTTGGCACAACGTTTGGCAAAGTGTTGGAAAAATATTGCCCAACCTTTTCACATTGTAGTTGGACGGGTAATGTGAACACATATATATTACCCCTTGTGGAATGAAAAATGAGTTCTTAACATATTATCGAAACATACTGGAAGAATCCCTTTGTGATACTTAAACATGGAACAGATAAATTAAATTTTACAAGTTCAAACGCTGGGAGACGTTTTTTAGTTGAACAAATAAGACTGGGACTACGAAAGTCACTCTTTTTTTATCAGTCGTATTGCGCATTTTGGGTAAAATATATAGTTTATCAAGTTAGATCGGTGGGCATAAAATATCTGAGCTTGGATAAAACACCTATACTTCTTGAAGGATTTATTATTTTTTGCAATGTGATACCTCCAGTCATTGAATCGAGTCACTTGACAAGTGACTCGATTCAAGAATAAGAATGCGTAAGAAAATTAATGACTCACTTCTCTTGATAACAATATTTTCAATTCTTATTTGGTCAGTGTTTGATGGAATTTGTTTCCTTTAAGAATGGAATAATACATACTTTTTTTCTTCTTAAAATCGTTTAATATTTGTAATTAGGTGATCTGCCGCGTAGCGTAGCAGAGCACTTATTGATTTCGTCAGAAGCTATTATTGTTCACTTTAATTCTGTAAGGATTTTGTTCGTTTCATATCTCATGAATGACATTGTGAATGGCAATGCAATTTTCATGACATGTGCCATATGCATGATCATTGTTCCCCTTTTCTAGTTCTTTTTTCTTTTTTTAGCCGGCAAGGTAGGGAGGCGAGCGGGACAAGGGCCGGTTGTGCCCTCGCCTGAATCCGCGCCGGAGCTTCACCATACTCATTTAAATGCACATACACACATTAACACAATGATCAAATAAAGTAAAATAATTATTTTATTGAAATAAATTCAGTTTTGATTAGCATCAAAATACATGATAATGTACAACAAAGTACAAAAGTGGGAATCAAAACAATATTGAACAAATACATATATCGAAATAAAATGGTAAATTATAAACGGGAAAACACAAAATCATCATTTAGAAAGATGCAAGTTCAACGTTATGAATGAAATCGTATTGGCCAAGCCATTTGCGAAATAATAAAACATGGATATAGATTTGTATTACAAAAACCCCCTCCCCCCTCCCTTCTGATGAAAGGCATCCATCTGCAACTACATGTATATAAGTCCATCGTTGTCTGCCAGATAATCGTTTGTGTACTGTCTGAAGGTAAAAATACACGTTTCATCACGGCACCTACTCATATGACATGTTTCTGGTGACATCATCTAAGTATGACGTCATACTGGCCAAGTTGTCAAGGCTGTTTAGTTCCAAAAAGTTTTGTGCCAGCTAAACAATGGCTTGGAGATCACATCAACGCCAAACATGGAATTTGCCCTGCTCCAGCCCGTTGCATGAATGACTTCGCGGTAAACCTCATGCGCAGGCTTTGTATTTTGGAACATGCAGTCAACTGGACGACCGTGAGCGAATCATATGACTTTAACACTTTGTAACTATATTGCTTCGTGGTCAATTTGCTACTCTAACCGAATTCAAACTTCGTCCCACGACCCAACACTTTCTTACCCTAAAACCTAACCCTAAACCTAAAATAAAACCAATCGCAACCCTAAGGTAAAGTCCAGTTATGGTCATGCGATTGCATTGTGAAAGAAACGTTGTGGAATCGATCAGAAAAGGTTGATCATCTAGCGTCTAGCATCTGCAAGGTTCTGGAATCATCAAAATGATAAGAAATTTGGCCCATTCTTCATAAAGTTACAAGCACTATACACAGAAAGATGTATATGGGACTATATCTTTCACAGTCAAATAGATATAATAATTTACCAAATATATCAATTAGTAGGCGGTTTCCCGGCAAATTTGTTATCATCATGTATTAGTCAAAACATATTCTTTCACATGACTGGTAATGAGAGCTTCCATTTCATTTTTTGAAATTGGGGCGTTTCCAATACTGGTCTTTACCTTTAACTAAATGTTTTTGAGTAGATAAATCCCGGAGAAATATTTGTCGCTTGAGCAAATCCACAATTATCTGGATAAGGAGTAGACTGAAAAATCAGTTTGTTTCTTTCGGGGACATTTTCCGCTGAGACCACGTCTGGCTTTACCGAATAACTCGGCCTCTTTAAAAGACAAAATAAGTTTATAACAAAAAAAAAATCATTATAATTATATACATTTCTATACATTTCTATATATGTTTTAACAATGATTACATTAAACACTATGGACCGGTCAGCAGCTGAACCCGACCCTTGGTCAAAAATGAACACAGGAAACTCAGACTTGTTAAACCCTATTCTGGACAAAGCCTAAACCAAGCATACGGGCCTAAATGTTTTGGAAGAATACATTGAATGATTTTAATTGTTTCATAGGTTACAATCATGACTACATTTGAAAAATGGATTTTAACATACTAACCCATGTCCAGGTTTATGGGGAGAAAGGGGGGGGGGGGGGGGGGGGGGGGGGGTTGTAATCCGCCCTTACAAAAAAAAACCTAATGGGGAATTAAAGGGGCTTGGATCTACTTTACAAGAGTGAAAGTAGTATAATCATTATCATTTCTTCCTTTCTCTTTATCTCTCTCTCTCTCTCCCCCTTTCCATCTCTCTTTCTTTCTCTCTCTCTTTTTCTCTCTCATATAAGTAATCAATACGAAAGCATTCTTCCGATTATACTTTATAAATCATCAATTATAGTTGGACAAATGTACATAGTTAGAGAGATGTTGAGAGGGAGAAAGGGTTAGGGACTAAGTCGGACTTTTTGCCCGTCTTGAAACTTTTTTTTGAAAAATCCGTCTGGTCAGAAAAGATCCAATTTGGCGTCCCCTCCTTCACAGTTCTCCTGAATGTATTTCATGATGTCATCTTCCGCCATCTGCTCCGACTCACGCTGGTCTAGCGCCCCCAACGTTGATTCCTGCATGCTCGTCTTGGACGCGGATTTGGGGTTTAACGAGGCTCGTGGCTTTATGCGTGGCTTTATGGGCGGTTTGGAGGGAGCTGGAGATGCTTTGGGTGAGAGAGCTGGTTTAGATTTCGTGCCAACGGATAACAGTCTGTCCAGATCATCTTCAACACTGAAAATAATTTTCAAAAATCATACCGGAGTGAACAATTCAGTTGTTACAATAATTGAAGCCATACGAAAACTTAAAACCTTTTTTTTTAACAAAACGTTTTTTTTTTCATATAGAAAACAATATATAACAAGTTTAAAAACTTAACCTAAGCCAATTTCAATAGCACTACCCATAGCCAAATGAAATAAGCACATATTAACATCTTTCGAAATTAAAAATATCAATTACCCCTGAATTTCTCCAAAGTCTCATCGATCGTGTTCAATCTAACCAACAAACCTGGTTTAGGGGGATTTGCAAGACTGACTTTATTATAATCAAAATAATGTAAGATTTATTAATGTTAAAGTATGATGGTCAGAAGAAGCCGCTATTTCTTGTCGTGAGCCCGGCCCGGGAAATGGAGGGGAGGGGATGGGGGGGGGGGGGGGGGGGGGGAATGCAAGGAAGCTTAAAAGCCTCCGACCATGATTTATATATATATATATATATATATATATATATTTTGTTTACCATTGCTGTATTAAAGTTTTGATTCTAGCAACATCCCATAACAAATTATATTCTCTGTACTTGCTAGAAAAAGAAATTGATATTATATAGGTGTGTTTTCTTCAACTTTATTTTTGGCGCTTTCTAGATCTTATAGGGGAGAGGAAAAGCCCTTTCTAATACTTTCCCGTTATAGGCGTAATCTGCCCCTCCCCCGGTAGACGAGCCCATTTTTTTTGTCAGACCCTTGTGGAAATTTGGATTCGCACGCTTGGAACAGTGAAATTAATAAATTAGGGATTAAGTACAGTTCTCGTCATGCAATTGCAATGTGAAAAAAAATGCCTGGGAGCGATTGTAAAGGTTGATCATGTAATCTATAAGGTTTCCGAATCATCGGAAAGAAAATAAACTTTGTGCAGTCTTGCTAGGAAACACAAGCACTGTAAATCACAGAAATGTGAATATGGGACTACACAAGCACGTACGTGGCAAGAGAGTTGCGGTCCACAACCATGAACTGTTACCCGTCATAATTTCGAATATGAGAGCATTTATAAGCCATATCTCTTTCAGGGGACACTTTGCCCCCAATAATCATAATACCGTTCCACACTAGAATAAAGATAATTACAAAGCTCACAAATTGGTTTTTCATTTTCCCTAGAGCTCAACTTTCTCTTTATATAATTATCCTCTTCTTTGTCCACTTTAGAATACTGAGGCATATTCAGCCAATTTATGCAAAAGAGGCCTTGACGAAGGTATATAGAAGATTTTTTTTTTTTTTTTTGGGGGGGGGGGGGGGTGAGGGGAGTAATCTAACTTAGCATCATTAGAGCCTATAGGCGATGTTATGGAATAATGAGTCTATACACAGTCTACGATTTAAAACTGATTATAATAATCAACAAAATTGATCTCTCCCATAGCTATCAAACGCTTGCTTCTCCGATATCAAAATGTGCAAGCATTTAAGTTAAACCTACTTCAAAAGATCCGAGTTGTCCTCGTCTGCTAATCCCAATATTTCAGGTGACGTCACACCTGTCGAGCTGCCCGGAGGGAGGAAGAGTGTTTCTTGTAATTCTGAGTTAGATACAGCACTGTCATCTGCGGTTAATAAGAGTTCATCCGCGGTACCTGAGTTTTCGAAAGCAAATGAAAACCAAATAATGATAATAATATTCCGCATTTATATAGCGCTTAATACACATAGAAACGTCTCTAAGCGCTTTACAGATATACTATCACCCCGGTCATTGGATTCGGTGCACAATCTCCACTCCCTGGGGAGCATTCCAGCCAGGCGTTACTTGACGCTCAAAAACTGTTTGACCAACAATCTGTGATCATTAATACTCAAATCAATAGTTTCTACCTTAGGATCCGGTTACTTATTCACATACAATGATAAAGATAAGTAATACTTATGAGAATAATAATATTATAATAATAATAATAATAAATAATAATAATGATAATAATAATAATAATGATAATAATAATAACAATAATAATAATAATAATAATAATAAATAATAAAATAATAATACTAAAAATAATAATAATAATGATCATACTACTACTACTACTACTACTACTGCTACTATTACCACTATGTACAGATGTGAAAGACATGTTGTTTCTGTGATTAAAATGTGTAAACTCTATGCAATTCAGCCATTGGGCTGCCCTGTGGATTTTCATTTAACACAACTGCAATTCAATTCAACACCGATATCCAATACTGTCCTAGTATATCAAACGATTTTATAGTTGTTATTCGATGTTTGGTGTCACCTGCGCCTGAGAGCGAAAAGGAACCGAATCACTATAATCCTTGGGTCTCTCCTCCCGGTATAGAGGATTTGAGTTGTGCACATGGACCACTAACACCTGGGATTCCCCCCTACTCTCATTCGAATAGTGCATTGTGTTCTGAACGTGCAACATGTGGTGACTGTCCTCTTCACATGCAGGGCCTCACTTTAACGTCCTCTCCGAGTTTTTCTACTGTAACATAGCATGGGTCTTTGAAACATGCATGGGAGGGGCATAAAGATGACGACCATGATGATGACATGAAACCCTAAAACAACCCCCACTTCGCCTGTCCGACACACAAACACACACACATTCCCCAACACATCACACACGCGCGCACGCGCGCGCGCGCACACACACACACGCACTCACACGCACTCACACACACATCTTTGTTATTCAGAGATTTCATTCAAAATAAATCATTACATAAAAAGCAATGTAAATAATTTCCATACAAATACGAATCTTCATTTCGTTTTCATAACACAAATAAATTATTCACAAAACATTTAAACAAAGAAGGAGAATAATGGAATGAAATCACTAAATTTTTCTTATAATAATAACATATTGAACTTAGTTATTACCATCATTCATGAAAAATAACATAATACATATTTGTATGCAATGCACCCTCCGTTAATACCCCCCGCCACCTTCTACTGCTTACCCCTCACCCACGTGAACATGTATGAACCCTGAAGAGATTGTAGGACTTTTAAAATCAGCAGATTAAAAATACAAAATACAGTTGCTCGGACCACATTTGAAAATCTTTAACGTGTTGCAGAACACACAACCGAATATTTTTTGTTTTGTTTTAGTAATAGAACTGCATTATATTAATAGATCCTTTTCTTTTAAAAGGGCAATGAGTATTATATACGTATGTGTATATCATAAGCCTACAACCTATGGAAAATTGGTCTTTTCCATGTATAATTGCTTGTCTTGAAAACGTTTTGGTTTTGTTGAGTATTTTTAAATTTCTATTATTTTCTTATTATGACTGACAGCACCAATTTCATTAAAAGCCCACATTTTGTTTGTTTATGTTTTTCGGCAGATACAATAATCTAAAAATAAAGATCAGTACACTTTTTATACATGTTTGTTATTAAATTCCTTTTTATAGAAATGCGACATTGCGCGAAACCAATTTCCTCGGAAAGGATATTTCTTTAATTCTCTTTGATTTTTGATATTCCTTTCCTTTCGAGTTTCAAGATATTAAGGGATATCCCAAAGGGAGCCCCCTGTCTGCACCCGAGAGACATAGGAAACTTGTTTCCGAGAAACCTTTGTACAACACACGTGCAGGTTTGTCAGGACGGTGCCAATTAAGAACTGACAGTACTCGATAACCTGGCATGATACTATTTCATCTTTAAAAAGAAATGTATAATTATTACTGAAAAAAATAAAAAAATCTACCAAAACATAAGAGATAAGTCAGTTTTATTACATATGGTTGACAAAAAAATTGTTGGTGATAATAGTGAAGATTGACTGATTGCCATAAAACCCTAATCAACAACAACAAACACCCACCCCAAAACGCACACACACACACACACACACTCATCCGACCTCAAACTTTCACACACCCTTGCACACGCCCAAACTGCGATTTGTATTGCCACAACTGCAATTAATTTGAGATTAAAAGCCTTTAAGAAGAAAAAAAAAATCAATCGACATAGGGATCTTCCTCGTTGCCAATCTAATTTACTATCCATTCACGAAAATGGCGGTACGGGATCAAAAGGTCTTGAATATTATGTTTGAGCCTGGTGGGCAATAATTTACCTTCTGTAGATTTGCCGCCTTCTGTTTCGCTAGCGTCTAGTTCGCATACAAAATGACTCTGATACTGAAGAGGTGTCGTATTAGAGTGATTTGAGTGCTAAATGGGCTACCCAGTAAAATATGAAGGTCAACGTGATCGGATAAGCACAGGCGCGTACACAGGGGGGGGGGGGGGTTTGGTAATTTGTTGTGTGTAAACCCCCCCCCCCTTTTTGGATTTTTTTATTTTTATTCAAAAAAAAAACAAAAAAAAAAAAAAAATTCCCATGGTTGACCTAAAAAAGCTGACCTTACCCCCCCCCCCAACGGAGCAAAATGTCATATTTCGAGACCAAAAAAAAAAAAATGTGTCCTCTTACCCCCCCCCCCCCCCCCCCCCCCCCCCCCCCGCTTATTCAGCGGCTGGCTGAGTCGTTGCGAAATTTTCGGCCCGATTTATAAAATGTTAAACCCCCCCCCCCTTGAAAAAAATCCTGCGTACGCGCCTGGATAAGCATGCACACAACCTTAAAGAGGTGACCAACTGGAATGCTCCCCACGGAGTGAAGAATGTGCACTGTTATGCACAGATTATCCAGTCACTGATTCTAATGACCGGGTTAATAATAATACTGCACGCGCTTTTGTCTCTTGCAACTGGTTAAACGCATTAGATTTAGTATTACATCTCACTTCAAACAGAAATATACTCTAGCTGTGCCAATCATAAACATCTTTTTGGGTGGAGGCCACCCCCACCCACCCGAATAATTGTTCGAAATAATTATATATTCTACACCTGGAAGGAAATCCTAGATCCGCATCTAGAGATAAACCTTGTCAATATAAATACGAGGTGCAACATCGAACATTGTACTTGCATCGTTTGAGAAGAGTCTACAAGGGTGCAACATTTTAAGTGAATCGGACATGGACCCTATTGGGTTTATTATTGCTCCCCTAAATTTGTTGCTCTTGGGACATTTCGAATCTTTTCACGGTCTTTTAATCTTCCTTCTACGTGTAAAGAATTAGGGGATAACATAATTGTGTTCGATTTCTCTTTCTACTTCGCTTTCATGGAATATTAAAGTCACATGACTGAGGCTTTGAGTCACATGACCATGACATGGGAGTTACACGATCATGCGCGTCAAAAGGGCTCAACAATATCACTAGCGAAAAGTGGGCGGGTGTCATAAGTCTATGTCATCTACTGTTGATCAATTATTGATTAGCTGTATATATACAACATTTGCTTTCTTTAAAAGTATCCCGGTAGACACTAAATGACATCGAGAATACAAGTTTAAAAATGATTCTAGATTTACTTCAATAATCTGCGCAATTCCCCCTCCTGCTTGTGACCTCCTTGAAATTTTTGTTTACATTCCTCATGTCCTAGAGGCCGATCATTCGATACACCATCGGACCTCTCGATTGCTGATATTCTAGCAACCTATATACATATCGATCGGGTCGATCGCTTGACTCGCATCGTAAAACATTTAGGTTGCGATTTCGTCAGTCAATCCGAAAGGTACACACTCGCGTGGATCGGGTGAACGATGTGATCGATAACATTGGAACAAGGAGATTGGAAGCATGTGTAAAACATCCTCTGCAGCTACATCGGATCAACTAATCTATCTTTCAATTTACAAATACTTTGGGGAAATGATAAATTCTGACTTCACCATACCACTAAACTACGGTGATACAAGCTGGTGATTATGGGTTGAAACTGGCTTTGAAATTGATCATGCGCCATGTCTCAACCAAGTGACTTTACTATTAATTAGTCGAGCACTTTTACTCCAAAGGCTGGATCTTCAAACCTTCCGGATAAACTGAGGTAACAACCCTCCGGATGAACTGAGGTAACAGGGAAGGCATTAGATACCATCCACCAACAGTCATAGGTTATCCAAGCGACACGTTTATGTTGTTCTTCTCATCTATCCATTTTGTATCTGTCACAAGGTATCATATCTTAAATCTCGTTTTACTGTTTAGTTTGTATATTAAAAAATGATTCATGTTTACTATATTTTTATATTTCAACCGAGTAGTTTATAGGCAAAAATGACTCAACTTATTTACGAAGTTTTTGCATTCTTTATTTATCATATGCAAAACAAATCTTTTCATAAAAATGGCTGAAATGGAATTTGTCAATAAACAGTTACAACTACTTCAACTTGAAATTATGCCAAAGTCCCGTATTCTGATATATTGCGTAGATGTTCATGTTCGATCTTTTCTCCATGATCTGCGACCTGCATATTAATAAGCAAAATCCAGATTGACTTGAGGCTTACCAAAATAGAACGCATGCTTCAAAGTGGAAGGGCTTTTACATGGTAACACAAATCAAAAGACCTCTATTCACATATTTATTTCCCGCGAGGTTAAGAGGTATAGTGGTTCATTTACTTGACTGTCAACATAAAGGTTGAAAGTTCTAATCTCAGTCCGTTACAGAGATCCTTTGACAAAACATTAATCGACATGTTTAATATACTTTCCACCCAGGTCAAAATGGGTACCAGGCAATTGCCGGTGTAATAACAGTTGCTGGGCTCTATAGCTAAGGAAAAACAGCAT